CGGCTGTACAAAGAGGTGGATCAGATTTCAGGACATGCTTTTAATGAAACTCAAACTGAAACACGTTTGTGATTGGAGAACAAAGACCAGGAATCAAAAGCCGTTGCAGAGTTGACCTGGGCGAGAGCGTGCTCACAGCTCCAAACATCAGCTCTGCACAGAACACCAACTCCAAACAAAGACCCCTCTGAAGCATCCTGTTCCAAAGCAGGCTGACAGACGGAACCAGAGTTTAGACCTCTGCTATCTCCGATTACAGTTTGTTTTGAAAACTCTCTGACATTCACATAAACTCAAGTTTAGAGTTGCTTATGACTTCCAGAGATGTAAAGGCCAAAAGCTCAGACTACTGAAACCTTTGGAAACTCTGAGACCAGGGACAGTTTTAAAAACCAAGGAAACGGTCCACTCTATATCATGAGAACAGCACAAGATTTCCAGCCAACAAAGAGTTGTTTCAACAGTTGAAAGCTTAGAGTATTTAAAGACCCACTCTGATGAAAATCATGTTTTTCTTGTTGTCTACCTGTTCATATGGCATTTTTCTGATGCTACAGGACATATTATGAGAAAAGAAAGAGTGAAATTTAATTTCTGACTATTTCAGCATTCAAATTTCTGTGAATCTCTGGTGGAGCCAAAACAGCAGGTTCAGATACAGTGAGATTTTCTACGTAGTAAATCCAAGCTCCGCCCCTGGAGCCCCGCTATGCAAGCCAGACTTGGCAAAGTAGAGAGGACGATTGCGGAACAAGCGTGTGCGCGTTAGCAGAATTGCTAATGAGCTACTGGAGCTCTGCAACAGAAAAACCCTGGAAGATGACACAGGTAATGTGATTTTGGCTAAAAACTTTATGATCACAATTTAAAGACCATTGTTAATACCTTAAGTAGTTTAAAAAAAAGTCCAACATGTTCACTGCCAGTAAGATGACATGTTCAGAAATTTGATTTAAATTATCCCACTGAAACTGGACTTTTGAAAAACATGTTTACACCTTTGTCCAACGAAATCACACAAGACAGAATGTCTCATATTTGGACTAACATACCCAGACAGTGATTGACATCTAATGTGTGCGTGGATCCTGCTAGTTTATTGAGTCCAAGCATCAACATGCCATGTTTGTCCCTTTGGGATAAGACCCATGCAACAGGGCAACTGGAAGCTGGTGTTCCACTATGCAGAGTGGCAGTTGTATTTGGTGTCAGCCCTGGTGCCATTTCCAAAATCCTGTGAGATGAGTGAACTCAAAGACACACTGTGATGAGGATATTCTAGGAGGACAGCACCTCGAGGAGACCTGTTCTTCACCCTTGCTTTGTTGGGGTACCGTACGATTCCTCTCAGAGATTTACTGGCAAGAGTTGCACAACAGTACCACAGACAGATCTCTGATCAGAGTGAGATGAGACCGACTGCACATGGCCAGTCTTCTTGTTTATAAGGCTGCAATGACTGCTCTTCAGCGTCAAACCTGTTTACATTGGTGTGGACAGCAGAGCCTAAGAATGTGAGGCAACGTCATGTCCAGTGATGAATCATTGTTGTGTCTGGAATTTGGAAATAGAAAGGATGGACTAGCCTGCCATAAGTCCAGACCTCAACCCAACTGAACTCTTGTGGGATCAGCTTGGGCATGCTGTTTGTGCTGGAGTGACCAACACAACCACACTGGTTGACCCTGAACAACTCCTTGTAGAAGAATGGGATGCCACCACACAGTAAAATGTGGCCAGGCTGGTGACCAGCATGAGAGGGAGGTGCCAGGCTGCTGTGGCTGCTTATGGATCTTCCACACACAACTGAGGTCTCTGGGAGGGTGAAATCATCTAATCCACCAAGAAAACAAGTGTGAATAGGTGCCAATCGTGAAGAATAATAAGTTTGACATGCTTGTTTTTAAGGCAGCCATTCATTGTTAGTACTGGTATATTATTATATAATGTTACATTTAAAATTATAGAGGATTTCCAGGATATTTTAAAGCCAGCTTCAATGTTGAGCCATTCATGGTTGAAGTGTTGTGGATTTTAAGAGTCTAGATTTCTGGCACCACCTTACTCAAGATACTGCCTTACTCTTAACCAGACGGTGAACCTCAATCGAAAGATGTTGCATGTGTAAAAGTTGTGACTGGAGGCATAAATCGTTTTGAAATGGACCGTATCCTCGTCCCAGAGGAAGAGTCCATTCTCCCAGTCAGACCAGTAAGAAGGTTCATTACTCTTCCAACAGAGGCACTGTGTTTGGTGGTCCCCGAGCCCAGCCTGCACCTGTGATCTCCAGCTAAAGGAAAGAAAACAGTCTGTAAATAAATAACTGCTTCTCTGCTAAATGGAGCTGAAGATCGACCTCGCTCACTCGCCGTGAAGAGCAGGAGGTTTGAAGTGACTTACAGCATCTCAGATCATGTGTTTCATTGCGAGTAGCATGCACGAGTAACTCAGAGATGGTTTCAGTTTAAACTGTGAGCTGGATGAAAAAGAAAGAGATGTGAGAAGGACGACTGTGAAGGTTTGGTGCAGAGGTTAAATATACGGGTCGCCCACATTTTGAGGGGGAAACAGGCGGAAAGTCCAACACAAACATGTCTGAGTGTAACTGAGGCACAAAGACTGAGGGAGGGAGCATCAAAGGCTCATTCATGGACATGGAGGTGAACTGTCTCAAAACTAAAAAACACAAGCTGCAACTGGAGAGAAGAAAAGAGCTTGATTCAGGCTGAAAAGGATGCAGAAAAGTCTTTGTTTTTCATTTCTCTGCTCAGCCTTGTGACTAGCTGTAGGATTTCAACACTCTTCCCTTGTTTCTCTTTTCAGTCAGGGTCTTATTTATAACAAGGCAGTAATTTATGAGAATCTGAAGGCCCTGACTGCTCCATAACCCGGCTCAGACTCACTCATTCTTCAGCGTGACAGGGCCGGGCTCCTGGAGTTATGGGATCAAGGCTGATGTCTAACAGAGCAGCTCGAGGGAGCAGGTATCTGCACTTCCTTATTTTATCAGCTCTCCAACAAGTGAACATGGACACGGGACACTATAAATCATTTTGCTCTGATGACAGCCTGGAGGCAGCAGGGCGGAGCGATGTCTGATGTCGTACATGTGTGCCATCTTTTCTTTTTTTCCTCAGGAGGAAGAAAGCATGACGGACCGAGCTCTCCTCCTACATCTGTGTGGATGCAGCTCACCTGCAGGGTCTGACCACTAAATACAGGGACATTTGTGATGTAGACCGCACTCATATTAGCTTTGGTATTTCTGCAGTCTGAGCCAGTGTAGACCAGCGAGATAGAAAGTCAACTCTTTTTGCTTGAAATATACTAGTGCAAATTCCTCATGTAAATAAAACCTACTTGATAATAACTCCAGTAGGGATGAGAAGATTAACCGATACATGGTCACGCACGTGCAAGATGCGGGTGCACCAGTAGAGCAGCTGAGAGTGAATGCAGTTTTGAATGCATATCTAGATGTATCGTTATTATATGTTCGTATTGATACAATCTGATACGCTTAATATATAACTTTTATTTTTACGTTACCAAACCATTTTGAAGGCATTAGTTATTCAGACTTGCGGATTTAAAAGTGCAAGGCATGATATGAAGGCCTGTTATGGTTATACAATTTGTTTTGTTTAACTATCAGTACAGCTATTTTATGAATCACAGTCTATGTTGCCCCACTGAAGTGGAACGAGATTCACTTTATAGGCACTTTTTCCTCTGTCCCAATACAGCCTAATCCTCCTCACACCGGGTGCAGCTCATCAGCGTCATAGCGGCTTCTGCTCGGGCTGAGTAGCCCCCCATAGCCAAACGCCCTGAGGCTTCAGCCTCACTATGCCTCATGGTTAATCCGGCTCTGACTGAAGTGCGGTGCAGGAGGAGGGGAGAACCCTAAGGAGGAGAACCCTAAAACTGGTATAGCCACCTGCGGTCAAAAGTGGTATGACACCCTTTTTTTCAAAGTCACCCTCAAACGACAGGAAATGGCTGGAAACGTGCTCAGAATCCATTTTGAACATTTCCATACAAAGTTAAACACTTAGAAACACTGACTTATTCCAATTTTCCTCTCCCATTCATTTTCTATGGGAAATTTTCATTTTGCCATAACTTTTGATAGGAATGTCCGATCGCTGGTTCATTAGTATTCCTAGATTCAGCATACCCGAAAATGGGGGGGTTCATCGTTGGGAAAGGCAATGAACCTGTCAAAAGTGGCACATACCCCTATATCCCTAACCCTAACCCTAACCCAGTCGTTGCTTTAGACCCTAAGGTACCTGTGACTTCACTCTTGGTCGCTGGCTCAGCCCGCTCAACTTCAACGACGCCCTGGACCATAACAAAATGCAGAATATCAAAATATTCAGCGGTAGTTTGCATCCGGACCTGTCTCAAAAGATAGCTGACCGCCTGGGTCTTGAGCTGGGGAAGGTTGTTACCAAAAAATTTAGCAACCAGGAAACGTGCATGGAGATAGGAGAGAGCGTACGTGGGGAAGATGTCTACATCGTACAGAGTGGCTGTGGGGAGATAGAAAGACAAGTAAGTGTTCTTCTGGGACCGGGGGAGCGTGTCCAGTGGGCGAAGGCCCGTGCATTCCCCGCTCCCTGCAGACCCAAGCAGGGTCCCCTAACCTAACCCTAACCCCTAACCCTAACCCCTAACCCTAACTCCGACGAGTGAAGACATACAAAGATAATTTGAAAATACTCATTACGCTTCTGAACTCCGATGAGTGAAGACATAAAAAGATTATTTGAAAATACTCATTCTGCTTCTGAACTCCGACGAGTGAAGATGTACAACGACAATTTGAACACAATACACAGACACACACAGACACATACAAAATGCGCTTCAAACGTGTTGGGGAGGAGAATTGAAGACCTCTCATTGAGGCCTTTGACGAGGCCGGCTCAGTGGGGGCGTTTTTGGAGCTAAAAGACGCCAGGTTTCCTGCCCATGCAACCACGTATGAGAGGATGGACGGTCTTTTAGACACGTCATACGATATGGACAGGGTGGTGGTGGAGTTAAAGGACGTGGGGGGGCTCAAGCTGTACTTACCCCTCCTCACGCTCCCTCCACCATCACCCCAGACCCTCCGCCCTCACTTCCATCTGCTGAAAAAGCATGTTTCCCTGGCGGGGAAGGGCACACACTGGGTGACGGCGCTGCAGCAGGCACATGGGGTCTGCATGGGCATGCTGAGTGGTGGCTACTACCTTAACCTCACCCTAATGCCCAAGGAGGAGAGTAGTAGCCACCATCTGTTTGATACCCAGGTGGCCCGTGTGTACGCTCTCCGCAGTATTCAGCAGGCGAGGGAGGCTTTTGTGGCAAGGTTCACCTCCCTCGCCGGGCCCGACCTCATCAAGGAGACAGTAAAAAAGAACCTCCTGTCCAACCCCAGCAAGCTCCAGATCCTTGAACCGGACCAGAGGTTCTTTCTGGGCTTGCTGGGGAAGGCGGTAAGTGGGGTCCAGCTGGACGACAGCTGCAGGTGGATCTGGACTGTTAGCCGCTTCGGCCAGAAGAGGCATGATTACGACCCCCTGTGCCTCGACTCCATTGCCGACTCACGCGCGGTGGAGGCAGTGAGCATCCACATGGCCTGCACCCTGGTTCCCAAGCCTTGGGCCAGGTTGCAGGTCCTCTGGTCCGCGTCTGGGTTGGCGAGCTGGGTCGGGGGCAGGGGGGAAATGTTCCCGGCCCTCTCAGCCCCCTCCCGTCCAGACAAACCTGGACGGGAGGGGGCTGGAGTACATTCAGCACTTTGCCGACAATTTGTTCAAGTTTGGCTCCACCCTCCCGTCTGGCTTGTGGGTGGAGCAGGTCCGCAGGCTCCAGGAGCCCCTGCCAACTTATTTTATTTTCTCTATTATTTATTTTTATAAGGATGGAATTTGATAACATTGCCAGTGAAAACACTCAGGCCATCATTGACGCAGCCCTGCCTTTTAATTACAATATTGAGCTCTTCCTCCGGAGTGAGGAAGAGCTCTACATGCCAGTACACGCTGCCTTCCACCCAGATCCCACCTCCCTGCATCGCTCTTGGGATATTGATGGGGTAGTTGTAGAGGTAACCAGATTTGCCGCTTTAAAGGCACCCATGCCCCACATTTATTTACCGACTTCTCACCAAAGCTATCCAGCTAAGGCACAGTGGCCTTTTTTAAGAAAACATCTTCCCCTCAGGGAGATGTCAGCTGAGGTGCTGAAAGAATGGAGGTGGATGCATGGGGTCAACCTGGGTACAGCCGAAGGGGGCTGGGTCATGAGCCTTTCCCTTGTCCCAGCTGACAAGGTTGTCCAGACAAACCTGGACGGGAGGAGCCTCAATGTTGGCAGGGGCCTGATGGAGGTCGTTCGGGGTGAAGGTGTGGGGGACTCCACCCTGAACTTCCTCCAGCTATACCTGGACACGCCACACACCCACTTGCCCAAAGTGTTCGTGCACCCGGTGAGTGGGTGTGTGGCGATCTGCGGACTGTTCCACGCTAAACTGAATAAGGCAATGTACGGCCGGGGGCTGGAGTACATTCAGCACTTTGCCGACAATTTGTTCAAGTTTGGCTCCACCCTCCCGTCTGGCTTGTGGGTGGAGCAGGTCCGCAGGCTCCAGGGGCCCCTGCCAACTTATTTTAAGCCTAGTGCTAATTTCAATGAAGAGAGGCTATGGGAGGAGCTCGAGAACAAGCCCCTGCTCCTCCCATATGCACATGTGCAGGGCAAGGGGCTAATGACGGTGGTGCACGGGGTCATGGGGCATCTGCTCCAAACACTGAGGGAGGTGTATGCGAACTCCAAAGGGGCAGGGGGCTTCCAGGCAGCCTGGACCGCATTTCAGGCTGAGCTGGGCCTGGAGGAGATGGTCTATGGGAGACCACTCTCCAGGCCCAGTGACCAGCTCTCCCAGATCCTGGGAACCTCCTCCAGCTGGCCCAAGAGCCTCAGCCACATGAGGGGGTTCCTTGGACTGGAGGCCTGGAATGTGGCCACTGCCAAGGTCTGCCCCCCACCCCTTGAAAACTGGACCAAAGATGCGTCTACATGTTCACAGATCAGACGCATCTTTGGTCTGGTGGAGGTCCTGAAGGCACCTCCCTCGGTCATTGGTGCAGAGCTCTTTAAGATTGCCCTCTCCAACCTCTTCAGGAAACCCCCAGAGGACCCCCCCTTGGCCGAGCTGCAGGCACAGGAAAAGCCAGATTGGTATATCCTGGCAGGGGCCATTGCTGTGGACAACCTAGTCGGCGCACTCTCAGAGGCAAAGGGATTTGTCTTCCCGATGGCTCTGGGCCGCACTACCGAGCTTGTCTGCAGCAATGGCCTCGACGTTGCTGAGTGCGTCTCGGCTTACAGGAGTTTCCTCTGCGGTGGTTCCCAAAGGTCAATGTCTGGCAGACCACTCACCCTCGTGCAACGTGGGATCGCCGGTTGTTGGTTGAGATATTCACCGATGGCCGGCAGCTGACCCCTGACACGAGGGTGGCGATTATGCTTCTGAGGGTCCTTGGTGAGCTCGAGAGGAGGGGGCTGTGCCATGGCACCAAGCTGGCGCCGTTCAGGGAGACGGGAATGCCTTGGCTTGCCAAGTGCATGACCCGTCTCTCTGTGGCGACCAGAGATACTGGTGTCTGGCTGACAGTCCTCACGTTCCTCTTGGCGGTTGGGCTGCTTGAAAACAACAAGTTTGTTGATTGCAAACAGCTCAACCAGCTCATCAAGGACATTCCGCTCCCCGTCTCCAGGCTGCAGGAGCTGCTCCTGTTGTCAAAACACCTGCTGCTGAAGGGGAGCACGCCGTATGTCTTGTGGAAGCTACACGAGACGATACCTGTGCGTGTTCCCCCGAAGCAGCAGGGAGCAGCTCCTGCAGCCCCTGACCCCAAGAGGAGACGGGTTGAGCAGGAAGCAGGTCTGTCAGAGGGAGAGGGGGTCGGAGAGGTGCCCGATGACCCCGTGCAGGAGCAAGACCTGGAGCCCGCCAGACCCAGGTACATGCCGGCTAGCACGTATGTGCGCTGGTCCGCGCAGGAGTTATGTTTTATCTCCCTAGACCGCGAGCTGAGCCACGGAAAGGCCTACAAGGGATACCTGAAGGACTGCCTGGCCCATATGGTACCAGCCCGCCAGTTCAGTGCTTTTAAAAGGCGCAGGATCTCCTTGCTGAGCGATGTTAAATAGTTGTTGATTTTTTATTATTGTCATGCACCCACACAGACACATCCCATTCACATTTACAGACACGCATCCACTCACATTACACATTTATTTACACATTTTTGTACATAGTTATTACTTCCAAGCAAAACAAAAAAAGACAAAAAAAAAACCATATGGACCCTGCCTTGACGTGGCATGGAGGCTTACGTGTCCTGTACTCAGACTCGGGAGTTGGTTCATTGGACTCAGAAAAATCCCCCCCCCCCCCCCAAAGTGCAAGTTTCAGCGCTCTACAAGGGGGTGGGTCACCTCCAAACCCCCTATACCTAACAGTAACCCTAACCCTATAGTAAAGGGTTAAAAGCATAAATAGCAGTTAAGGGGTTAAAATTGCAAAATCTAAAAAGAGCACAAAATAAAATTGGAAAATTAAGAAATTCATTTGTATTTTTCACCAGACACTATAAAAAGGGAGAAGTGGGCAGGGTTTATTCATTTCTATTCAGATGCTTGGAAAGACAACATCTCAGCTATTTATCAGCCAGCAGCTTTTTGTTTTCCTTATTTCAACCAGCAGCTTTTTGTTTGTGGAAACATTGTCCTTGGCACACAGTTTAATTTGTAAATAGTTCATTTTGTTTCAAAAAAAGTTAAAAAAAACAACAAAAAAATTTAAAAACATTTAAAATAAAGAATATATATATATTTTTAAGAAAACAATCAGAATTTTATTTAAGAAAGTTAAAAATCAAAGTTAAGTTTCCTTTTGTTTTACAGTTAGGTTTCCTTTAATTGAAAAAAATCAGCATTTTATTTTCTCTATTATTTATTTTTATAAGGATGGAATTTGATAACATTGCCAGTGAAAACACTCAGGCCATCATTGACGCAGCCCTGCCTTTTAATTACGATATTGAGCTCTTCCTCAGGACTGAGGAAGAGCTCTACATGCCAGTACACGCTGCCTTCCACCCAGATCCCACCTCCCTGCATCGCTCTTGGGATATTGATGGGGTAGTTGTAGAGGTAACCAGATTTGCCGCTTTAAAGGCACCCATGCCCCACATTTATTTACCGACTTCTCACCAAAGCTATCCAGCTAAGGCACAGTGGCCTTTTTTAAGAAAACATCTTCCCTTCAAGGAGATGTCAGCTGAGGTGCTGAAAGAATGGAGGTGGGTGCATGGGGTCAACCTGGGTACAGCCGAAGGGGGCTGGGTCATGAGCCTTTCCCTTGTCCCAGCTGACAAGGTTGTTCCCAGCAACAAACTCCTATCGGAGGCGGCTGCCAAAAACCTGACTGAGAATGCGGCAGCAGACGAGGCCAGGGCAGTGGTCGGCCAACTTATAAAGCTTGGTTCGATGGAGATGACACGGTTGTCAATCCAAAAAAATAATATATTTGAATTTTCGAAGTTCAGGCTCTTTAAGGATGACCAGTCCATGTTCCTGGCTTTAGTAGACACAGCCATTGAGTCCACTGAGCTACCAAATGGGGTGGCTGTTATGAGGACAGTAGGACAGCTTGGTGAGCAGGAGTCAAAGCCCATCATGCTCCTGGACGTCCTCTCCTCCATGGACCACATCAGGTCCTTGTCTGTTCATGCAGCATGTTCAATCCGGCATGTTGACACAGATGTGGACCTGATGTGGTCCAGATGGGGAATTAATAAGCTGGCGGGGTCAAGGGGAAATGTGTTCAGCAACCTGTCCATCCATGAGGCGGCTAACTTCCAATCAAATTTGGACGGGAGGCCCATGGATGTAGACCAAAAACTGTGGTCTTTGTTTAAAGTTGGGAATGTTAGTCCCAGACTGACCTTCCTCCAACTTTATTGTGACTCCCCACACAATCCCCAGTTCCCGGTTGGGAGAGCTGCTGTTGACCACATCGGCTCATGGGGGGGGGGGGGGCACTGGCACCATGGTCCTCTGCCAGTGCAGGCGAGGTACCGCCCCCCCCTCGACAACTGGACGGGAGTAACTACTCAGCAGTGGAGAGTGGTGAGGCTCTTCCCGCTGACCTGTGTCCTCAATGCCTCAGACACAGACCTGGGCAGTGAGATGCTGACGGATACCCTGAAGGACATCTTTAAGACCAACCATGCCATCCCCTGGAGCTTGTTGAAGGGAGAGGGGGAGAATAGGCCGGTTCTCAAGGATGCAAAAACTTACCGAGAACTGGCAGACACCCTGCTCAAACATTTGACATATTTCCGGTACCCCTGTGTCTTCCCTAGGATGGTGGAAATGGTCAAGGATAAGGGCAGGGATGTCATCAGTTGCCTAGTGGCTGGTCTGACCGCTGCGCAACTGAAGTTCTTCCCCCATGTCCGCTACAGGACCTACAAAGGCACAAAAAGAGTCAATTGGAAGAATGATGCGTATGCCCTGCTAAGACCCGAAGGGGAGCCAGAGACAGCAGAGACCAGGGCAATCAAGCTCAATGAGCTTGTTGCCCAGGAACTGCTTGACAGGGCTTTGACGGAGGACGGGCACCTGGAACGGTACAGGGAGTGGGGGATGCCCTGGCTTCCCATGGTGCTGTCAAGGATTCCCCCTGAGGTGAAGAAGTAGGACAGGAAGATGGACCTTGAGGTCTATCTCTCCTGCCTTGCCATCATGATGAATGGTGGATTTGTGCACTTCGCCAAGCTCAAGGACCTTCAAAAATCCCTCCCTGTCTCCCAGAAACGGCTGTTTGACATCCGTCTCTGGTCAGTCTTCTCCCTGAAGACCATCTGCAGGGATACAGTCCTGTACAAGCTGGCAGATGACATACCTACCACCCTGCCAGCCACGCGCAAGCCCTATAGGGGGAAGAAGGACCGCAAGGAGGAGGAGGAGGAGGAAGAAGAAAAAGAGCCTGCTGACCCTGGACTTGATGAGGCAACCTCATAGTTGCTGGTGGAGGAGAATAGCCGTCAGGCCAGGTCTGTCAGCATGGCCAGGCCAGCTGGCAAACGGACAAAGTGGTCACCCCAGGAACTAGCCCTGGTAAGGGACACTGGGGACCTGGAGGCTGACTACAAGTCATATGTTAAAGATTGCTTTGACAGTGACATTCCCCACCGTTCAAAGCAGTCTTTCAACGCCATGCGCTGGCGCATGAGTAATAACTAGGTCAGAGAAAATACCTGAAGGTTCCCTTTTGGAACCTCTCTTTAAGTTGATTTGATTTCTTTTTCCGCACCCTAACACAAAAACACACAGACTTACATTCACAGACACTACACCCACTCATTTTATACACGTTTATTGGCACATTTCCCTTGTTCATAACATAAAAAAATAAAATAAAATTCCCCCACAAGGTGTCTGCCTTGTCATGGCGTGGGGGCTTACGTGGCTTCAGTGACTGCACAGGAACACTGGGCCACAACTAGAGACACCAAAGACTCCACTACTTAGGGTTTTTTTAAAACAGTTTTTTTATGTGTGTATTAAAAACAGCATCTCTGTACAAACACAATCATAATCTCATTTAAGAAACAGTCAAAAACCACAAGAAAATCACAATTTTAAAAGAAACCACCGACATCTGTGCGGGTCACATTTGAACTGCGTACGTTGACTTGAGTACCTCATCACCCAAAGCTCCACAGAGGTGTACACAAACCCTGACAGACTGTTTCTAAGGATGGATTTGGATTCTTTCCTTTTACTGGCTCTTCTGAGCATCGGGACACTGCTCCAAGTGGACGCCTCAGAAAGTTTCACAGCCAAGTATGGAGAGACTATGGTGATACCATGCAACAGTGGCGCTGCAGCACCTGAAGATCACTTCAAATTCTAAGAGCACGGAAATGGCAGTTCAGGGGTTAAAATTTAAACTCTAAAAAGAGTACAAAATAAAACTAGAAAAATAAGAAATTCATAAGTATTTTTCACCAGACGCTATAAAAAGGGAAAAGTGGGAAGGTTATATTCATTTCTGTTTAAATGCTTGGAGAGAGAACAGCATATAATATTCAGCCAGCAGCTTTTTATTTTTCATTATCCAGCCAGCGGTTTTTTTTGGTTTATTACCGTGTGCCTGACCTGAAGAAGACCCACCAGGGTCGAAACGTTAGGAGGGAAATCTGGAAGACATAGAGGAGGAGGTGCGTCACAAAAAGACAACCAGAAAACGAAAGAGGGACCGAGACCATGACGGCGGCCCGTCCACACCCAGCTCCAGCGGCAGCCAAGGGCGCGACAAGGACGATGAGGGGAAGAAAGCAAAGAAGCGTGGCCGCCCGCCTGCTGAGAAGCTCTCACCAAACCCTCTATCCCTCACCAAAAAGATGAAGAAGATCGTTGATGCGGTTATCAAATACAAAGACGGTAATGGCCGACAGCTGAGCAAAGTCTTCATCCAGCTGCCCTCGCGAAAGGAGCTGCCTGAGTACTATGAGCTCATTCGCAAACCTGTGGACTTCAGGAAGATCAAGGCCATAGGTCATTGGCACACAATTTTATTTGTAAATAGTTCATTTTTTTTTAAGTTAAAAAATAGTTGGAAAACACAGTGCATTTACTTTTTTCACCTTTTATGAAAACAATCAGTATTTTCTTTACGAAAGTAAAAAATTACAGTTAAGTTTCCTTTTATTTTACAGAAAAAAAGTTAAGTTTCCTTTTATTGAAAAGATCAGTATTTCATTTTTTTAAAACAAACAACAAATAAATATTTAAGAAAAAAAAGCCACTCCAACATGAGTGGCTACCAAGATGGCTGGACAGAAGTCTACTATGGCCAAAGGGGCCAACGCTTCCGCCAGCCCTTTTGGGACCGGAGGAACGTGTCCGGTTGGGGGAAGGCCCGTGCCTACCCCGCTCCCTATGGGAGACGGGAGACAGTCCCCTCACCTTGCCAAGTGCATGACCCGTCTCTCTGTGGCAACCAGCGATACTGGTGCCTGGCTGACAGTCCTCACGTTCCTCTTGGCGGTTGGGCTGCTTGAAAACAACAAGTTTGTTGATTGCAAACAGCTCAACCAGCTCATCAAGGACCTTCCGCTCCCCGTCTCCAGGCTGCAGGAGCTGCTCCTGTTGTCAAAACACCTGCTGCCGAAGGGGAGCACGCCGTATGTCTTGTGGAAGCTACACGAGACGATACCTGTGCGTGTTCCCCCGAAGCAGCAGGGAGCAGCTCCTGCAGCCCCTGACCCCAAGAGGAGATGGGTTGAGCAGGAAGCAGGTCTGGCAGATGGAGAGGGGGTCGGAGAGGTGCCCGATGTCCCCGTGCAGGAGCAAGACCTGGAGCCCGCCAGACCCAGGTACATGCCGGCTAGCACGTATGTGCGCTGGTCCGCGCAGGAGTTATGTTTTATCTCCCTAGACCGCGAGTTGAGCCACGGAAAGGCCTACAAGGGATACCTGAAGGACTGCCTGGCCCATATGGTACCAGCCCGCCAGTTTAGTGCTTTTAAAAGGCGCAGGATCTCCTTGCTGAGAGATGTTAAATAGTTGTTGATGTTTATTATTGTCATGCACCCACACAGACACATCCCATTCACATTTACAGACACGCATCCACTCACATTACACATTTATTTACACATTTTTGTACATAGTTATTACTTCCAAGCAAAACAAAAAAAGACAAAAAAAAACAACAACAAAAAAAAACCATATGGACCCTGCCTTGACGTGGCATGGGGGCTTACGTGTCCTGTAGGGGACACAAACCAAAGGGTCCACTTACTAACACCTTGAAAAAAGTAAACTTTTCAAAAAACTTCCCCCAGAATTAGGTCCTATAGACTCCCCGTGGCCTGAAACGTGCTCCTAACACAATTCTGGAAGGTGAAAAATTGGGTCCGCCCATGCATTCCTATGGGAAAAAATCAACTTTTTTTAGGAACGTCCTAGAGACTCGGGAGTTGGTTCATTGGACTCAGAAAAATCTTCCACCACCCCCCCACCCCCCCCAACATGCAAGTTTCAGCGCTCTACGACCTTCCGTTCAAAAGTTACCAAGGGGGTGGGTCACCTTCAAAATGCGTATACCTAACCCTAACCCTAACCCTTAAAATTTAAAAATCTAAAAAATGCACATGATAATATTAAAAAACTAAGAAATTCATTATAATTATTCGCCGGAGACTATAAAAGGGGAGAAGTGGGTAGGGCTTATTTATTTTCATTTAGACGCTTGAGGAGAGAAGACCACATAATATTCAGACAGCAGTTTATTTTTTCATTATCTAACCAGCATTTTCTTTTTGTTTTATTACCATGTGCCAGACCTGAGGAAGACCTACAAGAGGTCGAAACGTTTATAAGAGCAACAAAACGTTATGTTGAGCTTGTGTTTGTAAAGTTGCTTACGTTTTATGGCTAGAAAATAAATATTGTTCATTAACTTTAAAAAATAAAAGTCTTGGGCACACATATATTTTTGTAAATAGTTCATTTATTTTTTTTCAAAGTTCAAAAGAACAAAAAATTTGAAAAACATTTAAAAATCTTAAAAAAAACTTTAAAAACATCTAAAAACTATATAGAAAAAGTTAAAGGCACAGTTTACTCACCTTTAATTTTCCTTCTTTCATCGTTTTGAGAAAACAATCAAGTTTTTATTTTAAGAAAGTTAAAATTACAATTAAGTTTCCTTTTATTTCAAAGATAAGTTTCCTTTCTTGAAAAACGGCGGCCCGTCCACACCCAGCTCCAGCAGCGGCCAAGGGCGTGACAAGGACGATGAGGGGAAGAAAGCAAAGAAGCGTGGCCGCCCGCCTGCTGAGAAGCTCTCACCAAACCCTCTATCCCTCACCAAAAAGATGAAGAAGATCGTTGATGCGGTTATCAAATACAAAGACGGTAATGGCCGACAGCTGAGCAAAGTCTTCATCCAGCTGCCCTCGCGAAAGGAGCTGCCTGAGTACTATGAGCTCATTCGCAAACCTGTGGACTTCAGGAAGATCAAGGCCATAGGTCATTGGCACACAATTTTATTTGTAAATAGTTTTTTTAAGTTAAAAAATAGTTGGAAAACACAGTGCATCTACTTTTTTCACCTTTTATGAAAACAATCAGTATTTTCTTTACGAAAGTAAAAAATTACAGTTAAGTTTCCTTTTATTTTACAGAAAAAAAGTTAAGTTTCCTTTTATTGAAAAGATAAGTATTTCATTTTTTTTTAAAACAAACAACAAATAAATATTTGAGAAAAAAAAGGCACTCCAACATGAGTGGCTACCAAGATGGCTGGACAGAAGTCTACTATGGCCAAAGGGGCCAACGCTTCCGCCAGCCCTTTTGGGACCGGAGGAACGTGTCCGGTTGGGGGAAGGCCCATGCCTACCCCGCTCCCTATGGGAGACGGGAGACAGTCCCCTCAACTAACCCTTATAACCCCCCTGCCCTGTACACCCCTTAAAGCCCTAAATATGCTACTTTAGACTCGACCGAGCTGGAGGTCATGATGGACATCCTGCTGGAAAAGTCTTTGCACTTTTTAACATTTGGAGTGTTTAGTTTTGCTACTTATTTTTATTTTGAAGCTCTTAAACTACATCTTTTATGATGGATTTGGTGATCTCTGATTATCATAAGGAAGTGTTGAGGTGTGATCACCTGCTGTTGAAGGTCTGGGCATTCCAGGGAAATGGTTCCTACAAGAACCAAAACCACCAAGGGTTCGTTAACTACCTCCGTTTGAAGGACTCACCCTATCTGCCCTCTTTTGTCCTTGAGGAAACCCCCCCCTAAACCCTGTCCCTGTTCCCCCCACCCTCAGAGATGCACAGGCTACAACAACAGCTTACTTAAAGAGTAAGCATCCTGTTTTTTGTTTTTTTTAAACATTAATAAATGGTCTCGTGTGATTGGGCAGGGACCCGAGGTAGTCCAAATTTAAAGACCTCCCTTCCACCCATATAATTATTGTTACTCATCATCTTTATTAATATTGAATGTTGTTGTTGTTGTTGTTGTTGTTGTTGTTCTTCTTCTTCTTCTTATCATTATTACTATTATTATTATTGATATTATTCAATTATAATTTCCATTTGCTTGTCTGACAATTGTAACATTTTTATCATTATTATTCATATATAAAATACACCCACCACACACCACACACACACACACACACACAAAACCACAAATGCTGTTGTTTGTTGTCTGTCTTGCATAAAAATAAAAATAAAAAAAAGGAACAAAAAGAAATGGGTGGTTATTTAATGGTTCCACTAGCCACCACCTCTAGGGTTAATACAACTGTGTGTCTGAACTCAATTCAACAAGAGGTAGTGAAAAAAGTCTTCAAGGAAAGCACAGAGGCTGGTGTACAGTTCACTTTTTTATTGTAGAAAACCTCAGGCATTTTAAATTATAAGTATATAGCAAGCATTATACTACAAACTAAAGTATCAGCTTTGTGGATGCACTACATGTGCCGCGGATGAATACTAGCAGTGAGAAGGAGTGTGAGGAGTATGGTTAACAAATGTGTCGGACGCTGAGCAAATTTACTCTCCTCTAAGTTGTAAATCTAAAGTTAGGCAAGACTACAGGTTTTACAAGAAAGACGGACGACTTGACAAGACAGATTTGCAAAATGTGTCGCACTGCTGTGAAATACACAGGCAGTACGACAAACCTGATAACTCAGTGTCATGATGTTGTCATGGAAGGGTCTGCCTCCCCTGCTTTCAGCTCGGATTCGCCTGCAGCCGGCAGCTCCAAAAGTAGTGAGCAAAGGATTGCAAGTTTCTTCCATGTCCTGCCTGCTAATAACTCTACGTGCTCAACGGCATTAAGCTAATTATGCTATAGCATTCTTCATCTGCAAAGGTATTCAGCCTTACAGTGTAACAGAAAACAAAGGTTTCAAACATGGCGTGCCACAAGTTTGTTTGTATGAACTATAAGAAACCAACACACCCTCTTAAAAACGTTGGATCAAAAACAAGCCAATTCAGGTAGTTTCCCAACCCAGCCCTGGTTAAATATTGGACAGAAAACATGCAGGGTTTATTTTAACCAACTAATTGGATTGGTTCACTTAACCCAGCATTTGGGTTGTTAATATTCAACACAATATTAAATTGCACTAATGCATCATAGTTCATACAGCACTTTATCAGAGACACACAGTCACACCTTGGTGGTGGTAAACTAGCTTAGTAGTCACAGCCGCCTTGGAGCCAGTTTGCACCTACGGCCTCTCTGACCACCACCACCACACAACACTCACAATCATACACCAGTGGAGGGCACACACTGGAAGCAAGGTGGGTTAAGTGTCTTGCCCAAGGTCACAGCAGACTGGCTTGGGATAGGAGGAAATCAAACCACCAACCTTCTGGCTATTGGAAGACCGCTGTACCTCCTGAGCTACTGCCACCCTGTTACAGTCATCCATTGATTGTTCGCATCAACCTGAAACATCAAGACACAGAGTCCATTAAAGCAGTAGTTCAACATTTCTGTGAACACCACACCACACCGCACATCAGCTAATGTGTTAGCTTGCTACGTTTGAGGCAATGTACTTCATGCTACTAACGTTGGCTAACCATTAGCCTGTTCACCTACCAATCAATTCCTGAAGGCATAAGCTGGTACGTAAGAAACTGGAGTGCTGGAATGTAACAAACCTTGCTTTGTACGTCTTCTTGCTTCAGCATTTGTGGCATCAATCTGGTGAGTGGGTGGTGCTTGGTTTCAAATGCCTGAACGTCTACCCAATTTGTTGGGTAGTCCACAATAAACCAACAGAACTATTAAGAAATTACAACCCAACAGTTAATAACTCTGTTCCGAACATAGATAACCGTGGGAATTGGGTACTCAAGAAAACCCAACTCCATGAAAATAACCTAAATAAATTGACCAACCACTATTTGCATATATTTAGAGTGACCAGTGTCCCAATTTGATCTGTGCTGTCCTGTTCTTGAGCTCCAGTGTCCAGTGTCTCACCAAATATCCGTAACAACACTGATATGTCCCCACTTTGGATGATCCCTGTAAGATTTACAAAAACATTCACTGTACCTCAGCACTGATTTGTCAATATAAATGACGATCCATCGCGTTGCCATGGCTGCTGCTGTTCTATATTAAAAACATCTCTTATGCGCCAGATTGAGATTGTCCAGGTCTAACCCCTCAATAAAGAAGTTGATCTATGTGTGTGATTTATGTGTTAATATTAGTGAAATTCTGTCATTTCTTTTGCTAGCTTAATAAAAAGAGATGACCTTTTTTGTTTGGTTTATTGACCAATGCGAGGTTGTATCTGGAATAAGTTAACCAAGGTCCAGTCAAAAAGCCTGAAACAGACCTCACAGTCTGCTCTCAATTTAGAAATACTGAAGATAGATCTGTTTGAATGGATTCATTATGTTGGCCACAGTGTTAGCAGGTCTGTGCTCTTTCTGTACCAAAGGGAGAATTCTGCACTTACACAACTGATCCCTTTTTTTGCTTGACTGACAGTTACAGTTCACAATATT